TTGATGCCATCTGTCCCTTTGGCTCTATGTCTCTTTTCCCTACTCATCAGCTTGCTTGTAGTGCAGGTTGTTATGAAAATTAATAAGGACTTCCAAAATGACAAAGTCTGAAAGTAATCCCTGACTATCCCAGGTCCAAGTTCACAGAGGATGTCTTGTAGTGAACGTGAATCACATCCTTTATGGTGCTCAATTGCTCTTACTATTTTTGGATTCTTCTGCACATTGTCATTAGCTCAAATGTGGATAAGTGCTTAGTAGGTAGCAAATGTTTTAAAAATATATCATTTTGCTGGGCGCTGGTGGCTCACGCCTGTAATCCTAGCTACTCAGGAGGCTGAGATCTGAGGATCGCGGTTCAAAGCCAGCCCGGGCAGGAGAGACCGTGAGACTCCTATCTCCAATAAACCACCAGAAAACTGGAAGTGGTGCTGTAGCTCAAGTGGTAGAGCGCTCGCCTTGAGCTGAAGAGCTGAGGGACAGCGCCCAGGCCCAGAGTTCAAGCCCCATGACCGACAAAAAAAAATATATCATTTTTACTTTTGTTTTTAATGGGCTACAGTTACATAAATAATCATAAAATAGCATATAACTTTGTTACATTGGACTCGTTCTTACAGACTATAGAGTACTTGAATAGAAGATTTGAGCATTCACTCAATGTCCAAGTTCTACATATTCTAACCCTTGGTTTGCAAAATTTTCTTCAAGTTATTTAAGCATTATAATAAAGGCTAAGCACTATGCAACTAGAGAGGCTGGCATATTTAATCTATAGTCTGTAGTCTTGATTGATTATGCAACCTGTAAGGGAAAACACATCCTCTTCTTTTTTCCTTTTTGTTTTATTGTTAAGATGTTGTACAGAGGGGTTACAGTTATATGAGTAAGGCAGTGAGTACATTACTTGTGGATCATTGTTACGCCTTCCCTTCTTTGTTGTCCCACTATCCCTTCCCCTCTCCTCACGCTTCCCTTTCCCTACATCATATTCTTACCACTGGTTTGGAACATGAACTTCCTCCCATTGGATAGTACCTATCTTTCTAAGGTGGAGTCTCCTGGTTAGAATTATAAGTACCAACTGAGGAAGCAATATATACTTCTTTCAGTTTCTACTTATTGCCAGTTTGTGCATAGGCTAGCTACTTGTTGATTACTTAAGGATGGAGTATTATACACACCTGATTTTAGATAATAGTCTGAATGACTGTGAGTATAAAGTCACTTGAAATCCTGAGACTAGTTCCTCAAAGGATGTAACAGCATAAGCAGAACTTAGGGATTCTTTTTTTCATAAAAGTACAAATAAGGAAAAGTACTTATAAGGAAATGGAAATAGATAGCATTTTTCTAAACACCTCCTTTGTGGTTTTCTTACTGGGATGGGCAAGTCCTAGGCTACATGTAATATGCCCATCAACTCCAAGTTGATCTGGCTTTTCACAAAGCCCAAGTGTCAAAGCTATTTAAGCCTTCAGGTTACAGTCTTCCCATTAGAGAGTTTCTTGTGCTGCTCTAGGTCATTGGTAAATTTTAAAGCCTTATGTTTTACTCAAAATATATATTCAAATGGTAAGCTAAATAGAATATTCCCTTAAATATCCACAAAAGCCTTTAGAGGATCCTTTCTATCACTAATAGAAAAATGCATAATAAAGTTACTTGTAGGTCTGGGAAGGTGTCTCAGTGGTAGAGTGCTTGCCTCGCATGCATGAGACCCTGGGTTGGATTCCTCAGCACCACTTAAACAGAAAAAGCCGGAAGTGGTGCTGTGGCTCAAGTGGTAGAGCACTAGCCTTGAACTGAAAAGCTGCAGGACAGCACCCAGACCGAGTTCAGGCCCTACGACTGACCCCCAAAAACGGAAAAGATACTTGTATATTGCAGTATACATCAGAGCCCCACACTTACCATATGTATTGGACCCTAATTTGTATGACTTATTTTCTACTTTCTAGCATGCAATTATTTAGCCAGGGCTTTCACATCACTTGCCATATCGTCCTGATAGGCTCAGATTATACAGAACATGATTTTCTATAGAATGTTCGATAATTCAGATCTTCTTGAACAAAATAATGCTAAGGAGGAAACAAATTGATAACAGCCTTAAGTAGGACAGAAAGGGCATACTGCTGCTTACTAGGTGTATGAAAACCTTTATTTTGCCTGCTGTTCTTGTTTTTGTTTTGTTTTGTTTCATTTGCTGGCCTTAGCGCTTGAATTCTGGGCCTGGGCACTGGGCCTTCCCTCTTTGTGCTCAGGATAGCATTCTACCACTTGATCCAAGGCCACTTCCAGCTTTTTTGAGTTTTCCTGCCCCAGCTGTCTTCACACCCCATTCCTCAGATCTCAGCCTTCAGAGGAGCCAGGCTTACAGGAATGAACCACCAGCGCCCAGCTATTTTGTCTGCTTTATTTAACAGTTAAAACCTTGCAGATTGAAACTTTCCAACAAGCTGGGATGTAAGTCAGTGGCAAAGCACTTGCCTACCAAGTGCAACATCCTGCATTCAATCCCCAGTACCAAAGAGAAAAAGACAAAAAACAAAAACACCTTCCCAACAAGTATCAGGAACAATGTTGATCCTTCTCCCCCCTAGAAAGCAGTTTCATCTGGAACATCACTATGTAAATGAAAACCCCTATGTAATCACTATGTAATTGAAAAGTTTATTAGGTTTGTGATAATTTGCATCCCTTCTAAAAGATCCTTCTATCATCTGAGCAGTTCATTTGGACAAATTAATTGTGCATGTGGTAGGAATTGCTACCCCTGCATATTTCAGCACTTTAAAGTGGCATGGTGCTCTCTGAAGCCTACAGATGATCATAAAGATCAAAGAGACTCCCCTTGGGGCAGGTTCAGTTTTCAGGACTAGCTCCCCAACAGCTGGAACTTCTGCTACGATTTGTAACTTGCACAAACAATTGGTCTCTGAACCAGCTGTTGAGTCAGATCTATAGCCTGTACCAATATGCACAACCAGGGCCTACTTCTCTTTCCCTAATGCAATTGTAAGTCAAGGGCTCAAATGAGTTCTTCTGATCAGCAGAATTCAACTGATATCTAAGTGCCAAACTACAGAAAAATCTGGAGAAAATTATTTCTAGGACTCCACTCTCCCAAGGTGTAAGAATACTGATTTGGTTATTGAGTCCTTTCATAGTTTCTATTCCAGTACTATACTTAACTAACAACCTCCATACCAGCTTCTTTAATGATCTGCACAGCACTTAGGAAAGAACAAGTGTAAGTTATGATGTAAGACACATAGAGGCCGTATTATTATTATGTTTACAGAGTTTTCAGCTACAGTGCTAATTGTTCTGTGTAAATTCTAGGGAGGTTATGCCCTTGGTATGGTACAAATGTGAGAGCTGAGATTAAAAACTCCTAAGTTGTAAAGCTGGGCTTTCAGACTAGATTTATTAGGCTCTGGAAACCTGACCCCGTCTTTACATCCTCACTTTCTTGCCACTCTCAGGTTTTTTGTTTTTCTTTGACCTTCTGCTTAAATTCTGCCTAAAGAATTATTTATTAAGTAAAAAAGAACTTAGAGAAGAACCATTTTTTGAGGTGCAAACATGATGATGTTGTAAAAATCAGAAATCTAATAAGTGGAGCTACCAGGTTATAGAAGATGTGAATCTTAGTTATTTATATCACTGAGAAATAATGATAAATAAATATCTATGATTTTTATGGTAATAACTTGTGCTTTCACCATTAAGTTGATTTAGAATGTGAATAATATTCTCATGCATGCTAGTAATGCGGGTCCAGACGTATAATAGATATTTGTCTTAAATGCTATAATCTGTTCATTTCCTTATTATAATCCACTGGCCTTTAAATTACAATATAATTAATATATACTATTAAATTCTCAATTTGAGAACTATGATTAATTATTCATCCTAAAGGACACAGAGGCAGCATTGTCTAGTTTTAATTACAATTATTAGTCTTGAAAGTAATGTCTCTCCAGTATGATTTTAAGGGCATAACAAAGTATATGACCATTTCTGTGTGTTTTGAAATTCTTCTTGAAGCCTCTTTTCTCCTAACAATGTAATGGACAGGTGAATGAAATTTCATCCAAGAGTTTTACACACCTTAGTGTGATTAGTGTTCAAATGGTCTTACTGCCAATAGTTATAAAACTGTATTAATTGTAAATTCATTTATCTTACTGTATTAGTATAATTGTAAATTCATTTATCTTACTGTATTAGTATAATTGTAAATTCATGTAATGTATTTTTGTTGTCTCCACATAAAAATAATGTCAGAATTTTTTTCTCATTGTTAACCTTCTCACTGTTAACTTGTGGCAAATAAGGATTGTGGCCAATCCTTTCCCACGTGGCATTGTGACTCAGAAAACCCATAGATCTCCCAGGTGCCTTCAAACTTCTCCTTATACATTTTGTATCCATTGACTTATCTAGCTGCCCATCTATATAACTATCTGCCCTCTGCTCTATTTAATAAGGGTTTACGTGTCTTTTCCCATTATCTTCCTTATTCTTTCTGCTTCTATACCATTATATTAGCTTTCACTATTTTAGGTAAAACTTCCCTTTTAGCACTGTCATTTACTTCAAAGTTTAACTTCTGTATAAAACCTTAGTTTCTTTTTTTTCAAATTCTTTATTATGATTAAATAATTTCCCAAATTTCACCATATTGTGGGATAGTAATGCTTAGTTAAAGTGACAAACACATTCTAACTTTCATGGGGCAAATTGTCTATTGTGGTCTATAACATTTATGAGTTCTATGAGCTTTGGAAAAAACCCCTTAGTTTCTATATTGTTATTTACTTGTTTATTTCACAATTTTGTTTGATACTAGCCTGGAATCATATTGACATTTTCATACTTTATACAGTGTGTGTATTAGTAGTGAAGTCTAGAAAATTGCCCATTAAATATACTGTGCTTGCCTTGACTAGCTAGATAGTAAAAACTCACTAATTGTATATCTTTAGTTTCAGGTACAACATTATCTCTCTAAGAGTCTGGTAATCCTGGGAAGTTGCAGCCTGTTGAGAAAATCTATTGTACCTCTACTTCTATCAGAAATTAACAGCTTTACTGATTATCTTGAAGCCATCAATCAGGTACATATAATTAAAAACTGTAGTTCTCATTTATATTTAGTTAATGTAATTAATGTAACTACAGACTTCCCTTTTTCCCACTTATTTACTCATTTATTCCTTCCAATTTTTTCTTTCCAGGCTGATATTTTAGTCATTTCTCAATTCTAGGGTATGTAACTATCATATGGTTGGCAGTATTGGGACATGAGCTGAGGAACTTGATGCTGCCAGGCAGGTGCTCTCCCACTTGAGCCATACCTCAGATAACCTCACACAGTCTGTTCCCTAGACCCAGTTTGGATTTTAGTCTTTCTAGCTCTGCCTCCCATGCAGCTGAGTCTTCCAGCATATACCAGAGTGTATCGGAATAGTATTAGTTTCTATCAAGATTTCAGAAAGATACTATCAGAAAATCTTCAAAGTCCAGCCACCTGGTCTTACTTATATAGTTTGCCAAATGTTCCATTGGTCACACCAAAGCCATGTTTATGTGAATGGCTTTACAATTCCCTAGGTAGGTAGCATATTCCTAAAGCAAGTAAATGAGAGAAAAGTCAACTGAAAGCAATATAAGAAATAAATTTAACTGAATTCAATTATATGTTTAACAGTAAGTACAAAAATACAAATTTTGCTTACACATTCCTCTTAAATTTTCATAGTAACATCATGAAGTGTTTATACATTTTACCCCGTTTATAGTTAAAGAAATCTAATCTTAGAATATATAAGCAATTTACAGTGTTGCAGTTGTAAAATGTTAAAGCAGAAATTCTAACTAAGGTGTTCTGATGGCTAACTCCTTTTAAAATATAGCAACTAAAAATGTAAGAAGGATAGTAACTCATCAAACAACAAATAGATTTGTATAGGTGTTAATGTGTGTTAAATGCTTCACATGAATTTGCCCAATCCTTTTAAAAGCTCTTCAACTACTTAGTATTTTTAGAGGAAGGAAAATTATGACTCAGCATTTTAAACTGTAAGCAGGAGTAAAGCACTGTCTCGGGAAACACAGTGTAGCCAGGTGAAGCAGAAAGACTCATAAATAAAAATGGAATTTTGATAAGAGTTGAGAAAAGAGCCTCCAGGCTGAACTTTCATGAGTAACTCCCACAGTCACACAGTGGGATTAGGTTACCCAAGGAATTATTACCTTTGCCATCAGGAAACCAACTGGTGAATCCAAAATCTAATCTTAGGGCCCAGAAAAAGTGCGGTCCTAGTGGCTGGTAGAAGCCTGTGATGCACTGTCCGCTATTTCACTGCAGAGGTTTGGCTTAATGAAACCTACAGCATACTCAGAACCTGCCAGGAGGAAGCTTAGCAAATATAGTCTTATGAGTTCTTCAGATTTTCTTAACTGCAGAAAGCTGATAATATGATTAGTAATAGAGTTATTCCAAGATGTCCATTACCAGTAAAGTTCAGAGAGGCAGTAACTTGCTTATCGATGATGAGTGTGAGTAAGAAGGGACGCTACAGGGCAAAGGGTTTAGAATATAAAAGACTGTGCATTTGGGCCTCTATTCATTGTAAATAAGAGTTATATTTCAAAGCATTCTGAAGAAGGCTGTGAAGAAGAGAAAAAAATGAACAAACAAATATAAAACTAAAGTATGTAAAAATTAATATGATTGAAAATACTCAAAGGAAGTTTGTGGATAGATGTAATTGAGTTTGGATATATTGAATTTGACAGCTTTGTAGTTGTATAAATATAAGCAGATGAAGCAGTCCTTGAAAGAATATCTCTGATACACAGCTGATTAACTACCTGCTCAAACAATAGAGTACTAACAGAAACTCAACAATACATCATTAATGTCTTGCAGAAATTACTAGACATATAAAAATCCAAGAATATATAAACTACAGCCTTGAGGAAAAATTAATAGTAACAGAACAGGTAGTGGCAGAAGTAATAGAATTATCAGACAGGATCAAATTATTATTACTATGTTAAAAGATTTTTTTGATGAAATAGTAAAGGGAAAATAGGAAAGTTCAAGGAAAAATCAATGTATATATGCATATATGTATATATACTGATAAAGTTATTACAACATAAATATAAATACAAAAATCATTCTCAGTTATCTCAGCAATTTAAACACACATTTATTTAAAGATGCTAAATATAAAAGTGACTCAGGAAGAAATAGAAAGCCAAAGTTAACTAAGTTAAAGAAATAAATTATATTTACAGATATAAACCTTCTCACAAAGATTTCAAGGTCACATGAAGAAGTTATATTATTCTCCTCAAACCCTTTAGAATATAGGGAATATTTCCTAACTCATTTCAGGGTGCCAATATTAACTTAGTCTCAAAATTAGACAACTACAATAAAAAGTCAAACAAAAAGTAGGCTAATATTTCTCATGAATATAAAAATGAAGACCTTTAGTAAATATTAGGAAATGGAATCCCACCAACATGTAACATGAATAGTACCCAGTAACCAACCGAAATGTAATCTCAGAACTGCAGCTTGGTTTTCACATACACAAAATGTATATAATTCACTTTATTAACAAACAAAACCCATATGATCTCAGTATATGCAGCAATGGCCCTTGTTCAATTCATCACTCATCCATATTTTTAAACTGTATATTAAATTTAAATAGAAAACTTTTCAGCATGGTAAAATGCATGTATGAAGAACCTACAAACATCATACTCTGTCGTGGGAGATTGAATACTTTACCCAGGATTAGAAATATGAAATATCCTTTCTCATTCGTATTGAGCAGAATACTGAGGTTCATAGTCATCACAGTAAGGCAAACTAATCTTGGAAAGATAGAGACAGAACCATCTGTTTATAGTCAACATGACCATGACGATGGAAAATTAAGGAATTTTCTAAAAATCTATTGTATAGACTATCCTGAAATATATCCATACACATATAGACAGTTGATTTTAGACTTATTTGAGATTATTCAATTGGGAGAGGATCAACAAGTCCATCTAAAAAATGACAAATATTTGAACAATTCTTCCAAAAAAGAAATATTTGAATAGAAGTGAAAAACAAGGACAGTACTGAGAAATGAACTGAACAATTACTGCAATTGCTTAAATTTAAAAGACTGAAGATAACAAGTATGGTAATAGCAGTGACCAAATTTAGTAACCTAAATTCATAAATTGCACATGGGAATGTAAAACAGATGAGCAGTTTCTCAAAAAGTTGGTCATACACTTACCAAATGTCATTTTATATTCAACAGCAGCATTTATATAAGGAATCATACGTTAGCTGAGTGCAGTGCCTACCACATGTAATCTAGGTTCTTGAAATGTGAATATTGGAGGATCATAGGTATAACCCAGCTAGAGCAGAAAGTTACTGAGACCTTTTCATTAAAAATATATTTATATATTTTAAATTTTATTATTTAATAGTTGTACAACAAGGTTACAATTTTATAAGTCAATTTCCAAGTAAAGAAGAAAATAAATATGTTAGTTAACACTGATTTTTATCCCACTCCAAATTTTATTTTGAAATTAAAACATCTGTAGGTTTCTTTGCAAAACTTCTAACCTTTAAATCCAGAAACCATGTCAGTTATCAATCATTCAAGTGTTAAAATGTAGGTTTTTAGACTGAGTCTTGGTGGCTCATGTCTGTACTCCTATCTGCTCAGGAGGCTGGCCATCTGAGGATCATGGTTTGAAGCTAGCCAGGGCAGGAAAGTCCATGACACTTTTTGCCATCTTATTATTAAGTGGTTGTAGAAAGTGGTTACAATTCCATATGTCAGTTTATGAGAACAATGCATCTTGATCACTGTCACCCCTTCCATTGTTCTCACCAATTTCCCTCTCCCATCCCTACATTCAAGTTACGTATTTCTGTTTTTTCCATAATGTATATGGGATATAATGACTTCATTTACTCACTACTTCCATTTCTTGTGTGTGAGACCCTTTCTTACAGAACAAGCCAGGTACAAAGTAGGAGAGCTAGTCCAGGAAGAAGTTACAAGATCTTACCTGAGAAATAGGGAAGCAAAAAGGGCGAAGGACATAGCTCAAGTATTAGCACACTCAAATGCAAGGCCCAGAGTTCAAAACTCAGTACCACCCCCAAAAAAGGAGAAAAATAATTCAGACGTGAACATTCATTGTTCATAATGTTGTTTACTGCTTAAATAATAAATAATTCATCATAAATGTATAGTGTAATTCTACTCAGCTATAAAATATATTAAACCAATGACACATCACAGATAAATCAAAAAGGAAATAAAAGAACAAAATGCTGAGTAAAATAAGGCAAACACAAGAGAATATACATGGTATAATTTCACTTCTATGAGGACCTAAATAGGCAAAGCTAATATATAGTGAGAGGCTTCAGAAAGCGATCAGAATATTCATAGGAGAGAGAGGGAACTGGCAGATTGGAGTGTAGTGTTCTGTGTGTGTGTGTGTGTGTGTGTGTGTGTGTGTGATTATCACAATTCATCTGTGAGATTAAGATCTGTGCTTTGTACTATATATAAATCGTACTTCAATTAAAATGTGTATTTTTAAACCTTAACATATTTTAACACAAAATAAGCTTTTGTTCTTTCTGCTTTTAAAGTTCAATCTTTCTTTGTCATACTTTGTTTAAATATTGACTAATATAGTAAAGTACTAATGTATCACCAAGAAGTACTTGAAGAACATTTTTAATTTTGAATGATGAAGTTTTCTAAGTGTTCAGTAATTCAAAGCTTATTTATGTACACATATGTGTGGCATTTGCACACACACATACAGTAATGATTCAATTTCCAACCTAATCATATGGCAGACAGAGGGGGAAATTCCACTTAACAAAGATTAATATAATAGTTATTATCCTAGGGGGGTTATTTAGCAGATTTGTGTATCAAACATCTTTCTAAACCTTTCATAGATCTCTGTTCTTTAAATGTTTTACATGTAGTCTTCATTTAAAATAGATAACTATTAATATTTATTTTGTTGCATCATTTTATTTTCTAATTAT